GCTTAATTTGTGTACATTGTGAGCTTGGCAGTGATTAATGGAGTTCGCTTCACTGTATCTTCCTTTATGCAGTTGACGTTTGACGTTTTTTCTTACGATCAAAATGCTCAAAAGTACGTGTGTTATTTCACAAATGTACGGGAATTTTCGTTTTCCGTTTTCCGTGAGCTTCTTAGTATCAAGTGTGTTTTCCATAAGGCGTTCTTGTTGCCATATTTTCCCTTTCTTCGTTGGTGACATGTAGCACTCGTGTGCCTATGTGGAAAAACTGATAATTACAAGTGGACCCTCTTTTTCGAGCGGTAATTATTTTTGAAGCATTTTAAACCGCTCGATGGACCTAATGTTATAACCACAATATACCAGTAAAGGTCACACCGACCATGGAATCATCTCTTGTATTACCACAATCTCGGTAGTCCTAAAAAAGTTTTGTACTCCATTTTTACCTGGTTATCAATTCCTTCTCCAGGTTCAAAGGTATGCTCAATTTTCATCTATTTCATGAGTGCGAATACTATTTGGTTTCTTTTATTCACAAATAAGGTTTGTTCATGCGGTAGTTATGCAGTTATGTAGACGCAGCTGACGATGCAAAAATTATTTCCGGGATTGAATATTACCAATATCAATTAGAAACCAGTCATTCGTTTTGGATCTTTATTATGTGTGATGCTTGTTTTGCAATCCTGTGTTACTCCCACGCGCAGTCCGAGCGGGATCGTTGTGTGCGCTATCTGTCCGCTTGCCTTTCTTGTCTGGGATCGTTGTTAGGCGATTTGGGTCGTCTGTTCTCACCAACGCCACAAGGCGTACATCCGACACGCTCGCCGCTCAGTCTCCATCTACCGTTGATGCGTCACGTATCCTGTTTTCTCAGCTTGGCCGTGATGCAGCACGGGGCTGATCTGTCCGACTTGTTATCCAGCTTTCTCTATCCGCGACCGTATCTGTTGCGTCGGTTTATGAGTGAACTGGCCAACACATTGGTAAGTACATTCCGTTCTTGAACTCTCATGATTTTTCCTGGACGGTATTAGAAGGATATTCCACGTCCCCATTCCGCTGTGCCTAATCATATCGGGTCAGGTTCTGTTCGGTTTGTTTTCCATTCATCGACCGGCTCGGTTCGACTACGAGTCAGGCTATTCTCGATACCGATCCATTCCTGTCTCTCAATATTCGATGATGACAAGAACAACCGGGTATGCACATCCATGCGAAGCACGCTAGTGTCTCAACCATACTTAGTTTGGTTATCTAATCTCTCGTCTTGATGCAATGGACGCCTCATTCGCCTACTCGATGCCAGATGTTGTCCTTTCAAGTCAAGTAAACTGAATAACGTGACACAAAATGACCATCTGACCAACCATTCCCCATTGACATGTTCGATTGTGTCCAACGGGGGATTCCTTGTATTGACGTTCAGCCAGGATTGAGTGGAAACTTATTGCAGTGGGGGCACCGTTTAGGCTAGGATTATTGTACGAGAGGTGCGATTTGCTCCCGGTTCCATGTCAAATTCTTCTTCAGCATCAAAAACCAGCACAGATTTATTGGTAAAAATGTCATCCCACAGTATCATTTCGCCGCATAGTTTATTCTCCTCGTTTCGTAACTAGGACTACCTGGTTTTTTATACATCCTCGTGCGTATGCTTTTTGTAAGTCACCGGAATGATGGGTTTGATGTAAGTCTCACCTATGCTCTCCTGACCGCCTGGATAATGATGTCTGAAATGCATACCCATTCATTCCTATCCGTTGCTTTCATTTCATACATCATTGACCAGCCACATGCTATTGCTGTGGCTGTACAATTGCATTATGTTGTCCCTCGGGGTCTTATCGACTGAGTGTACTACTATTACTACTACTGCTATTGCTATTACTATCGCTGAACTCATCATCACATTCGTATCTGTTTCCCCACCCACCGGAGGGATATCCTCTTGAATTGATGCGGTTCAGACGAGGGGATTATGGTCACTCCGCTCAGGAATGCTTATGTTGGGTTCGAATGACGTTTTCTGATGCCTCACACCATCTTCTTTGTCTGATCTTTTTTTACCGGTCACTGTTTTTTACTTACTTTTGCTACTCCATCCACCCGCGATTCTCTCTGATGTACCGACCAAACCCAAACCGCATTTTTCAGCTTGGTTGTCAAGAGGTTATTGTGGGATATTGGATACGTAATGGTCAAGCCCTGCGCCAATCGATCACGCACTACATGCAAAGCCAGCTGTGCTACTCGTTCATCGATTTGGATATTTTTGCACTGCAGGTGGGTGGTTCACTTTTTACCAATTTGTAACAATGCGAAACAGAACACTACACATGTGAACACACACAGTTACATAATTTTTCACGTGACACAACAAGTGTGCCGGGTTTTTCAGGCGCAATAATCTTACAATCAGTGTCAATTAGTTTTTGTCCTGCTAAGCGGAATCCCTTTGGTCCTGCTTTGTCTTTACCACTTTGTGGTCTTGGCACGGTCCCTCAGGCTCACAAATACGTCGTGTACATATTGACAATCAGAGTACGGTGTTTCCGGTGGGTGGTGTTGCATGCGGTTGTTGAAGATACACTCTAACGTGCATCCTACCAACTGGTTCATGTATGTTGTGATTTATCTGCATCTATTTGACGATGCGGCGAATTTTGCATTGTATTGTGTTAGTGCCCTCGATTTCCACTGCATCATCATCTCCGTGCATCTCTTGATGATTCGTCTTTACGTCATGTTGATGTGGTAATCGCACAGGATTTTTCTCGTTACTGGATTCTCACAAGATCGTCTTCCGGCAACGTTTTCTCGTCTTGATAGGAACTCCACAGCTAGTGAAATAGAACACAGCTAGAAGCATGTGGGGATTCATTTATTATTCTAAAATAATGATTATATGTGGGAAAGAGCGAGGACAGGGGAACACATGTTAAACGATTAGTTGATTGGATTGCTGTCAGTCATCTTAATTGGTTGGCGATTCCGGTCAGTTCGGTTATTGTTGTTCTGATTGGTTGTCCCAGAACAAAGCAATCCTCAGGGAGCATGCCGACTCCCCGACACCTCATCGTTTTGGTCCGAGGCTTATTCGTATATGTTCGAGGCATGCCATATATCTGAAACCGCTCTAGAGGTTTTCTTTTTCTCAGTGAACCTCTGTTCTGTTGAGAGTGGCCCTCCGTTAATCGTATTTTGTCTTATAGTACCGAGGTCAGCTTTGCAGTTTGCTGATCTGATGACGAACACAGTTTCAGTACCTGAGGATTGTTACATATACTGTTAAGTGGCACATTGAGTATCCCGAGCTCTTCAATCCAGTCGATCCCTGGGAGGTAGGTGTGCTGCTTCAATGGACGCAATCGAACAAAATGCCACTCACTGCATTACCAACATGCGGTCGGAGATTTGTTTGATGCTGGTTCTTTGGGTCTATTCCTAGACGTTGACTTGGTGCACATGTGGTTCTTGCGCGCTCCACAATAGTTGAATCATGCTTCAAATTCTTCAGCCTCTGACATTCAGCCGTCAACGTCCGTAACGTTGCATTAGAATCGTGTTCAATGATGTTCATCAAACGTGTTCTAATTTCCGCATCCTGAGACGACTAGAGTCCGCAGACCAAAATGAGACACTTCAACTGGTCTTCTATCATCACTCGCAAAATGAAGCGTTTTCACTCTCGGTTCAACATACTGTAATACGTAATAAAAATCAACCGAGTCGCTTTTCACGACTGATATATTGTACTGAATAAAGATAACTTCACACCCAATGTATTTGTGATTAACCGCACTGTGTTGTCACATGATAAATCTCGGGTGTTAGAATTCTCTCTGTGTACCGCTCATGTTCTGTGGTACCCAGTTTGTGTAAAAGAATCCGTACCTTCCATACATCACCCGGTGCAGCAAATTACACCTGGAGCGTATCCTCCCGTTGTGTGAACCATGATTCGAAGGTGACTCTGCGTCGTAATGGAATTCGGTCATACTGGCCACAAACAAGTTAGCAGCACAGGACTGAAGGGCAGTACCGACCAGATCGGACGAGTGCAACTTAAACAATCGCAGTATTGTGTCCATCAGGTTGAAATGCGCCACCTCGAATTGTGCTTGTTCGTTTTGGAGAAATGGTTGCCGATCGCTTGAGGACATCGCCATGTTTGGATTTGGTGGAAATTAACTTTGTCGCCAATTTTTTGTTATTGTTGAGTATAGAGTGGCCGATTGAGCCAAAAGCCGCTTTCTGATCGATAAAGATAGAAATGGTGGGTCTACGAAAGTAGTTTCTGTGTTTTAGAATTTGACGAAGAGTGAAGATGTGATCTATACAACCTCGAACAACTCAATAGTNNNNAATAGTGCAGCCTCGGCCTTGGCAACGCCTTCTTGACGAGACACTGATGCTACAGGGTTACTGAAAAAGCGCAAATATAACGCTTCTTTTGTTTTGGAAGGAGATGTCAAGCGTATTACTGAGCTCTGATTCTGAATGCGTGTTTCCGAGAAGCAACACACACCAATCTCTAGACTTTCGAGTGTTCGAGCCAAATCTGCCTGTTGTCCTATACTTGTTAGAGTTCGTACGTTGAAGGAAGCCGGTTCGAACGCAGAGTGAGGACTGAGGAATGGAACGGTAGATTCCGAGTGACACAGCACTACTGAGACATATCGCGGATGACAGCGGTGAACTACAACATGAAGTTACGTCAGTGGAACCATTCGAAGTAGAACATACAGCGGACTGAGTGGGAGTGTTGTGTGGGGGATATGGGGAAGTGTTGCGTGCAGAACCTGAGAAAAAGCAGCTTTGCCTTGGTGCAAAATTCTGTAGCGTTTGTGAATTTGTAGGTATGTGGTTGGATTGATCAATACATCCACGACCTGGCCGGAATCCAGCTTGCTGTTCACGGATATTGGTTTCTCTTACATGAGTCAGACGTCGAACGATGACCGAGGCTAGCACTTTGGTGACGATCTAAATCAAACTTAACCCGCGGTGATTTTCACAATCATTACGAGATACTTTCTTGAAAGGCAGCGGGGCGGTGTATAAAAGCCGCAATCCTTTGGAGGCCGGTTAATCGGACCATACGCTCATTCGACGATGTCAAACGTCCAAGAGGCCCAAAACACCTCGAACCCATTCGAGCCGGTGATCACTACTACGATCACGAAGGTATGTGGTTCCTACACCTGTTGACATGTTTAGAATCAGGATTTTAATTATTTCCCCTTGGTGAACTGCCGACTTGGTAATAGCCCCGGATGTTAGACTTCCGTCCTCACTTTATCGGTAAACCAACTTCACCAGTGAGTCTATTTGAGATGCTTGGTCGAACGGGAGTATTTCACGAGGTGGAATGGAAGGGTGATCAACTGAAACGCGAGACTTTCACCCCCAACCATACTTGGAATTTCGGGACACGCCAAAATATGAAGAGCAGTAAAACATCTTGAAGATTATTAAGCATTGTAGGAACCACTCGACGCAGCTTACCGATGGTCTATCACTAATGACATCGAATTCGATGTTGAGAAATTTAAGGTTCTGTGATTGTGTTATAGGGGCGCTTTCCACACGTACTTGGAAACCAACTTTTACCACGTGCTCGAAAGCAAAGGCATCTGGAGTTTATTGTTCAGGCGGATCTAGGATGTTTCGCACATTGCGTCAAAGCGTCATCAATGGCCGTAAAACAATTTGGACCGAAACAGCTCCATTGCCCCGTTTGCTATCAGCATACATAAGACCACACATCAAGTATGCTATCCAAGTTTGGATTTCATGGTTAGTTTGTGACGAAACAGTACTCTAATGTTGGCAGAGAATAGTAACCAATATATTCAAAGGGCAAGATCTTGTAAAGTTGCTAATCCCGGGACTCTATTCATCTCTGCATCTGAGACTTACGCATTCGGTCCGTCTGTGCATTCCTCAGGTAAACTTGGGCCTCACATCTTGCCTAATGAAGTTGTGGAGGAGACAAATCATTTCGCGGCCACATGCCAACGTCGAGATTCACTGGCAATTTTTTAATTCTTTCATACATCACTTTAAATGTTGTGTGTTTGGTCCTAGCCTCCATGGACAAACGGTACTATCAAACACATGGACAGTAACGCTGTTTCCCAGTTGCTTCCTTTCGCCGCCAACTACTCTTTGATTGTTCTATTATTTCGTACGGTGAGGCCGTTGGTTTGTGGGTGATAGGGAGTTTTGCGTATCTTTATGATACCCAACTTCTGTAAGCATGTGAAGTTCTTCATCATCTCTACGGTGTATTATTGTCCTCTGGGACACATCGGAAATGGACCCATGATATCAATGGATCATAATTCACCGATATCTACTGGTGTTACTACACCACACTACTGGTGTTACAAATCCACCAGACGGGGCCGGGACGAGGATAGTTATTGATCATGCATAACGGTCAGGGTGTTGGTAAATTTGCATACAAACAACAAAATGTTTCATTTGCAACAATTCTTCAGAATTCCCACATGCACTTAAGGTAGTTAATGACACGGTTCAACAATAGATGCGCATTCCTGTCATTACCGTGTTGAACACAGCAATTCACTCTAACAAGTCTTGTTCATTTTTAACCGTTGAAAGAAACCACCAATCGAAACCTTTTGTGTACTACTCGCAGATGTGAGTAGTACTTCACGACACTGGTATTGACTGAATTGGATATTGTGATTGACGTGTGTCTGACTTGAAAAGTTTACTTTTTGCACAAGCCAGTATCTGGTTTGTCACTAGCTTGCATATTTGGCCAATAAGTTCGCTGTCGGTGGAAGTCGTTACTTCGTACGCAGCCAGTTCGTGACTTTCTTTAATAAGGATTTGGTGTAACTGTTTTGGAATGACAGCTACCGGGCAACTTCTTCCTTCCTGTCGTTTCATCAAAATCCCGGCGGTTTTCAAAAGAAGCTGCTTCCTTACAGATCTTCCTGACTTCGTGTGTGTTGTCTCTGTAATCACGGCTGTCAACTACTTCCCTTTTGAGCGGAACAGCAGGATCTTGCCGAATTCGGTAACGAGCCGTCCGTCAGTTAGGTCGACCCCGGACTCTAAACCATGTAAGATATCCGCTCCCAGTACAGTCTAACCCATTTCTGTTGATGTGATAAACGGATGCTTGATTATCTTGTTTCCAGCATGGACGATCCGTTTCACTACTCCTACCTGCAACCGGTCAGCACCAACTGTATTCCGTGCCTCCGGGGCCTCATTTTATCGGGATCACGCCAAATATACTGCCGCACACATATCAATGACGCACAGTCCTTTCCGATCCCCTATCTCCAAATTTTCACGGACTGCGTCGCGATCTAGTGCCTCGAGGATCGTTTTGTTTAGGAAGAGCGGTGTGTGTTAAATCAACCGTTCGTAGAGAAAATGCTTACTGTATGTGTCCGGGTAATTCCTCCACCAGTGACCCAGCTTGCCGCATTGAAGCGAAAATTCCTGTTCTTCCTTACTCTGCTGTTTGACTTCAGTGCCGCCACTTCTGTCAGCCTGAACGGCTAACTGCCTCACGACTTCAGCCGGCGTGAATACATCCGTGGCACTTCCTGTGTTGATCATCCGTGCCTTCTTCCGTTGATCGTCCGGCAGACTCCACAAAACGCTCGAGCGATGATTACGATCGAGCGACATCGTTCAAAGTTAGCAATGCTCGATCCAACAGGGTTTGTAGGGTCATAGCATGTGACAGGAAGTCTAAGCCAACTCCGAGTTTCACGGTTTTGAAGCGCCACAGTGCTTGCTGGCGGTCGGCCAGGGTATCGAACCCCGATATCAGGACATNCAGGACATCCTTTTCGTCCGCCCACTCCTTCCTCTCTAGGTCTCTTCGCGTCGCTTCCGAGACCTCCCGCGCCCGGTCCTTGAGAAGCGCTCGGAGGACCGTCAACTTACTCGTGTTTGTCCGTATCCCCGCCAGTTCCGCGACGTCCTGTAACTCCTCCGGGAAAGTCCGCACCTCCCCGTCCTTGGAAGATTCGTGCCGTGGGACCTTCATCCTGGTCCCGGCGATGGTACCAATCGTTATAAATCCAGTGGGTATTGCCGGGACGAAGAGTTGATTATTACGGATAGCGGTAGCGGTATCTGTAATTCGGCATGCAACAAAATGTCTCATTTGGAACAAGTCTTCAAAATTCTCACAAGCACACCGATAAATAATGGTACGATCCAACAGTGGATGCGCATTCTTCGTAGTAACCATACTGAGCACAGCAATTCGCTCTAAAAAACCTTGTACATTTTTTTACCGCTGAGAGAAATCGCCAATCCCATTCTTTTGTGCACTCTAACCATATCACTCAAAAATGCGAGTTGCACCTTACAGCACCCGGAACCATCTTCCACCTCAAGTTGTTTGTGTTCCAGTCACCGATTCATCCAAACGGCGGCTCAATCAAGCACTGAAACACTAAACTGTTCAGCACGCATTCATTCTACTGCCATCCGAACCCACTATGTACAAATCCTGTGGGAATCAGTAAGCCTCAGCATTGTAAATCATCCGCAATAGAAATTTTAATTTACTCGTTATTATGCTGGCTTCATTTGGACTAATCCACTGGATGGTATCCTTTTTTCGCAGTTATAATGTAATTTCCCATGTTGTTTCGAATGAATTGTCATTCGGTTGTCATCTGTTTTCCCATTTACGATGACGATCTTGCATATGGGAATGAAAGCAATCCCGAAAACTGGGGTGAAGAGTGTTCAATACGTTTACAGAGTGTATTACCTTAAGGATTCAGTGGATTGAACACTATTGGTAGCTCACTGAATTGTGTTTTGTCATGCGATGCTAATCTCTTGTTATGTGCATTTCACTGATCAGGTGATTTCCACTTCCGGTCATTGTATTGACCTCCGGAGCTCTACTTCCATATTTGTTTGTCTTTTTTGCCTCCCAAAGCAACACTGGTTGACAGAAAATTCAGAGTAGTAATTTCCTACCATTATTGCTCTGATTTTAAACATTCATTGCAATGTTTGGTACATTTTCCTGAATTGAACCAGTTTTAAGCTTGTTCATTATTCTCTTGCGGCTGGTTGATCGTTTTTGACTTGGATATTCCGTTCTCTCTCCCTCTCTTTCTCCGACGACGATGACTCCGTCACAACCGCATTATGTTGTTGTTCTTAGGTCTGTGCAACATTGCTTCCGCCCGCCTATTTGTTAAANTTTGTTAAATGCCCTGGTTGATGAAACTCGATTACTCCGCGGTTTTAACTTTCACGAGGAATTGATGAATCTGGTCGCGCCATTGAAATCACGGAATCTGGATCGGAAACCAATGGCGTTGGAAGCATGGTTGATCAACTTATGCTGGATTTTAGACTTGAGGAACAATATTTGTAAGTTTTACCGTCCTAATTAATTT